CTCGGATTTGTGCTAGCAACAACAGTAGACATCTGGACTTTACACACAAAACATTGTTCAGACTGAAGGTGATGCCGCGCCGGTTTGAGATAGCTGCCGCCGTCAACCGTCTTCGTACTGTGCAGTGCGGGTCCCAGGAGTAGGGATAGGGACGGGCTAACTTTCTGTATACGCTCAAGCATGAAGCAGAAGCTGATGCGCCCTGCCTTTCGGTGTACGCTTATAGAAGCAAGCTTCTTCAACACAGGGCTCTAGGGTATGCCGTGACCATGTTGCAGGGTGCATGGGTTGCTCTCCCAGGCTTGAAAGGGTTTGCAACGAGCCGCAGGCAAGCACTAAAATGGAGCCAGAGTCAAACTACGGTATGTGCGGGCAAGAGGCCTTTACACTTGCTGAGAACTCGCTTGGGATCGGAAGTTTGCATGTTTCGTGTCCACGCGTTGTATATAAGAACAAGTCATTTAAGGTTGGCAGGTTAACGCGCAGACTACCGCCATTGCTTCATGGAGAACAATCCCGTCGTCCAGGGTTCTGATATGTAGGAGACTTGAGATGCCTCAGAGACGGTCGCTAAGGATGGCTACAGACACCGAGAACGGCGATAACACCGCTTGGTGACTGCTGAGCGCACTTTCGGGTTCCGGTCACGGTTATGTAGGGATATGTATGATCTGGGTTTAACGAATCATTCTGCCATACGGAGATGCCCAAAAGTCATGTGCCTTATTTGATGCTGGTTTTTTTGCAATACGTTATGATGCTGCCACGCAGTGACTTCCACAAAGCCAAGCATGGCCCCACTGGCGGTAGATGTTAAGAACAAGTTGGATCCTGCGAAGCCTAAGATGAGGACGCAGACATTTTGGGTGGCTTGTCACTTTCCAATATAAAGTTGTTTTTGTCGTCCTTTAAGATCTTAGCTGACACCTATGGTTTTGAGAAATTGCTGTCCTAAGCTGTTGATGCAGAGGGGGAGGAGAGAATGCCGCAGTTGAAAATCACTGGCGCCGGGTGCCACTGGGTGGTGTTTCAGAAGCCTATGGCGCTGCCAAAAGCTTAGAATCTGAGGGTTGAGCTTCTGTGCAGGCATGGTCACCTCCGAGCCGGCTGATGGTGACGGCCTTCGGCTACTTGCCTTACGCGAGTTAAAACATGGTTTTGATGACCTGCCTGGCCAGGGTCTTGCCCGTGAAGCCAGTTGTCTTTTGAAGTTGTGTCATGGGAATTGTGTAGAGGGACAAGAACAGGCGGTGGTACAGGGCATGCCACCCACCGACCGACTCCTGCCTGTACCGGCCCTCGTTGCAAGAGCTATACAGCGACCCAAATTCTGTTGGAAGACGGCCCGAAGTGCCAGTACAAGCAGAACAGCGTGCACAGTTCAGGGAACAGGCACATGTTGTGTCTGCTGAACTGGCCAGATTGCGCCCTCACACGTGCTTAGGCTTTGTTGATCCCAGGTGACCATCACCCAGCCATGGTTGACTGCGAAGGGCTGGGTGCTGAGAGGTGATGCTACGAAAGCAAGGGCCGACTACTTACAGGACTGTAGACTGTAGAGGCCACAACCTGCCTGATGGCTTCCGGCTACAGGCGTATGTTGACAAGAAGCGTAGCGCTCATTATCCTCAAGTTGGCAATCTGCATCCTGCTTGACCCGTGGAATGACTGTCGGGTTGATTCTCACAGATCTGTCAAACCATCAGGTCATATCAGATCCACAGTGGCTTGATTGCCAGAATGAATACGTGCTGAGGCTGCTGCAATCAGCTGCTGCTCATCTTGGATCTGGCCTCAGATAGTGTTTGCACCTTCCCACCCTGAGTCCGCCTTTCGCATTGAAGACCTGGAGAGGTCTTCTTCCCCTGGAGGTTGCTCGAGCAGGAGGCTTGCAGACTGAGTGGCAATGTCAGATTTACCAAGTGCAGGACACATGCAAGTGTCGTTATGTTACTTGAAGGGCAGTTGCGTTGGCTTGCTCGCGCCGCAGCCCGTATAGAAGTTGGCATGACGTTCGAGGCGCCAGCTGATTGTAACAAGTGCTTCTGGCCTTCCAATCCAATCATGATAGGTTCTGCAAACAAGAAAGATTGAGCAAAGCAGTGCCTGGCAACAGTCTCGCAACCATCGTACACTCGCAACCCCAGAATACTAAACGGGCTGTAGCCCAAAATTTGCAGGGACCTTAGCCAAAAAAAGTGGTTGCGCGCCCAAACTCGCAGCGCAGGACTTGGCACACTGCGGAGAGCCATTCACCGCAACTCACATATCAGGCACGGCAGCAATGTGGCATCAAGACCTGTCAAACATTCTTGTCACAGAGCAAAACTAGAATCGGAGCCAGCAACCCCATGGCTGGCCGTGCATCGCGGCAGCTTGCGCAGATTCAGGCATGGCTTCGGGTCTGCCATAACACCTGACATGCCATCAATGCGAGGCTTTTTTTGCAATTGGCACGCAACTTGTAACTCGGAGCTTTGTGCAGACAAGATTCAGGGTCCCTGCTGCAGCCCCTTTTTCCTTTGCTAGCTTATTCGAACTGCCGCAATACCTGTTTTGAATTGGCAAAAAGTTCCAGTATCGATTTCATAGTTCTCTGCTGTATTGCTGGCGTCATGTTGAGACTCACGCTTTGTTAATGGTCGGTTCATATTGTGGTCACCGTCGTTGTCATTGCAATGCAACAGCAGCGGCAGCAGCAGTGGTGGTGGCGACGGCAGCGGCGGCTTCGGTGGTGAGGGTGGTACGACATGAACCAGTAGCCCGAGTTGTTGTAGCACAGTTAGGAGTTCTGGTCTCAGTAGCATTTCGCAGGCCCGGTACGAGCAGCATGAGCATGACGATACGTGATACGAACATGTTTTGTGCGAATGGTGCAAGTGGTCTCAGTGGCAGTAGTACTAGCACATGGGCGAGGACTACGAGGATTAGGCTCCAGTAATTAGTCGTCATGGAGTATTCCATGAAGTGTGAGGAGTAGCCGCGGCTGAAGCAGCTTTGATGCTATCCCCGCTGCCAAACCGATCCCCGATCAGGTGGGCCTTGCCCGCGCAGCTGCGCCGCGGCTAACGGGAGACCGGCGCGCTGTGGTTGCATGCCGCTCGGCAGAAAAGAGCTTGCAGTCATTTTGTGCAAGTTGTAACATGGGGCTACACCAAGCGTAAGCCGTTCGGCTTGAAGAAGGGATGAAAAGCTTGAAGGATCCTAGCGTTAGCGGCCAAACATTGTCACAGCTTGTCATGGTTACGTACTGTATTTGGCAAAGCCCACATTTGCTCCGGAGTTGCTCACAAAAAGCTGTGAACGATTTGGGCAAGCTAGCACGTTAGAAGTCCGAAGCAAAGGCCTTTTGCGTCAAGGATGCTCAGAAAGCAACTTGGATGAGTTGGCATGCCTTTGCAACATCAATGCAAGTCAAGAGCGGTCCAAGTCATGCTTACCGTTGGAATGTCATAGTCTACTTGAGGGCTTGGGGACCGTATTGCCCTTTCATATCTACATCTATGACGGTTAATGATTGCCGTTGCCTTACTCAGGCACCTTGTAACCTGTACCATGGGGCCTGCGTTTTGATACCAAGCAGGCAATTCCTGGCTCTGTGAAACCCCCAGAAGTTCCATAGGTTTTGTTGAACCTTCCCAAGTCGGCACGTGAAACTAGACGGAACCGTGATTTGATCCCAGGCCTTACACTCAAGACTGATGCGCTTCCCAGGCATTGATGTTTTCTTTATCCTGCGAGCGCTGTCTCCGGCCGCCTCAGGCGCATCAGCTCGTTGGTCTGGCCAGGCAGATCTGGGCATGTTTGACAGGGCCCGGGTGTGCGTCATGGCGTTGCTGCAATAAGTCACAAGCCGAGCAGGCTGCAATCAATAGAGGAGAACTTTTTGCTTACACCTGTGGCATTCTATATGCACAATCACTTCTGTGGGCTTCCGATAACAGCGGCATCATGATCGCTGGCTCCACTTACAAGTGTGATGGCCCCTACAGTAAGTTTTCGTTTTCAGTTTGAACTCCAGATGTCGATTAAGGCTACCGCTTGATGCATATCTGCTTAATGCATCACACTTAAGGGGCTTGTTGCACCATTGTGTGCAACGAGCAGCAGTCAGCAGTCAGCAGCTTGAGGTGGGCTTCCCTGGTGGCCACGCGGAGCAAGGCGAGGAAGACCACGAGGCGCTCGGCACTCACGATTCGCGATTCTCCCTTCACATTCTCGCATGTCTCACATGTCCTCAAGTTCCAGAGACAGGCCGCTAGTCGCGAGTGTCGCGAGGAGGTAGGCCTCTACCTGGAGACTCGACTGCAGAGTGAGGTAATCTTCGAGAACTTGTGGGCATATTGTGGGCATTCGATTCCGTGGCCTTGGTTTCCCCGCCATTGCAGACTGTGCAAGTAAGGGGGGCACTGGGAAACGATGTGGACTTAGGATCGGCCCGGAGCGTACCGTTTCCTGGGCAGAGCCACAGCTGCAAATCTTGTACGGGATCTCAACACGCCTACAAACGTTTTGGCAAGCAATCGCTTTTGAAACGCAATGAAACGCAAGGCGTTTCAGAACGGCAAGTCTCACGGGGGCGTCGTGGGACGCTGGTGGTGGCATGCAGGCCTGACCTCAATACTTGAGCGCATAAGGTCAAGAGAGGCGTTCGTGCAATTGCTTGGTGATGCCTGAGCGTTACATGTGCTCAGACTTGAGGGGTCACATGAACCTGGGGGAGTTGTTATTGAGTAGGCCCTGACGTTGCCCTGTGAAGTACGCCCACGGGTTTAAAGTGGTGGGGTTCCACCCCCTCTTGCTCCGGCCGCTTCTTGGCAGGGTCTACGAACAGTTGATTCCGCAGACGCCGGCGCATGTGCAGGCGCCATATCTTTGTCCAAAGGGATTTGATCAGATCTGTGGTTGCAAGATATGTTTCGAGATGTTGCGAGCATACCCGTGTGGACAGCAAGGATCTAGGAGAGGTGAAGTCCTTTTGACTGCCCAGCCCTGCTAAGCCATTAGCCAAAGTACGAATTGCAGTGGCCCGATCCGGTTGCCAAGACTTTGTAATGCTCAGGCGATATTAGTCATAACTCGGTACCTACATTTTGGGTCGGTCACGGAGAATGTAGATGCATGCTTACTTCTCCCATTGGGAACATATTCTGCACTACTCAGTTCGTCCAAAGGCAGCCTCAGCAATTGATTGTTCAGGGCTGGTCGGTGCGTCAAAGTTTGAGTACCAAGCGCTTGGGCATGAGCCTTTACTCACATGTCTGGCAGGCAGCGGAGGTAGCTGCCTGTGGCTGGGTGCCCTTGGAGACACTACTGGGGGACTGCGCGAGGCCGGGATCTGTGTTGCAGAAAATTGGTCTTGATTCGAAGTATGAACGAAGGATGAGACCCAGAATCCAAGGCGCTGCCCAAGGTCAGCAACAGACTAATGACTAAAACGCCCTAGTTAGCCTGAACTCTAAACTGAAGGCCTGAATGTGAATCACAGGTGATGCAAGCTCCGCTGCAAACCTTAAGCACTAGCTCTTCTTGTTTTCAGGCCCCTTCGCTGGTCTGATCTGCATGGGCCAGTGGGTGCACCCTGGGATGGTTTCCCGCAGCTTTGGCTGGCACTTTGAGAGGAATCGGGTTGCAGCTTCCTCGGCTCCTTGGTTGGGGAGTGCCAGCTTTCAGAGTCACAGAATGGCAAGATGGCTTCAGACGTTTGAGCATGTTTTCCATTCCAAGGGCTTCCGTAGGACTGGTGCCACGTGCGTAGGCGGCGTAGGTCAGGGGCATAACTGCAGTCTGCAGTGCTGGACACAAGGCCATAGCAATTAGAGAAGGGGAAGAGAGGATCGTAGACAGCTTCGTATACCTGGCTTGTGGGTTCTTGGTCCCTTTCGTGATTTTTCTTGGGTTTGCTATTGGAAGGTGCCTTCACAGCTGCCCTGGAGCCAACATGACTTTGAAAGCTCAAAGTTGAACGTCTGAGGTCAGTGGATTTGCCGGTACGTGAACTGCATACCTCCAATCTGGTCGACGAGGCAAGAACCAAGAACTTGCTAAATGCCTTCAAGGGTTTTTGACTTGTACCATGCCAGTCAACGAGCACCTCTGGAACCCAGAGCCCAAAGTTTCATTCTTGCTTTATACGGCTCGCAAGGCTTAACCCAAGCCTGGCATAAGATTCACGGGGAGCAACGAGGCCTTTCCTTGGATGTCCCGGAAGAGTCCTGAATGCCTTTGAGTACGGGTCCTTGAGGTAATGTTCTTGATCACGCAGGTGTACTTCGAGCTTCTCCATCGCAAGTATGCAGTGCTACGCAGTGCTTCATGATAGGAAGGCAGCGCCTGATACGTGGCGCATGGCAACAAGCAGAGCACAGTACTTGTAGCAGGTAGCATGCGCCTTAGAATCTTAATGTCCCACTGTGCCGGTGGGAATTTGAACCTGCATGGACAGACTACGCGCTCCAACATGTTGAACCCGAATTCAACCAGACTCCGTGGCCCGTTGTCATGTTGCAGGCCTTTGCGCGTCGACATTTTATCCTTTGGGGCCTGCAGCTTTGTAGCACTCAGAGTGCCATCTGATTTTTGTAACCCTTTTGCTTCCTGAGCTGCATCTCTTCAGGACATTGGGAATTGTCAATGACTGGCTGGTCACCACCGGCCTGCGCCAAGACCCGATCTCACTGGGTGCGGAGCTATATTCACGCATCTGAAAAAGGCTATGGAATCTGCTGTTAGCTTTGCCCAGCTCGTGCTGATTTTTTTGGAAGTTGAAAGATGACAGGGACGGGCTTGAAGCAAATCTAGTGCAGATGCCTAAGTTCAGAAACAGGTCTCTGAAGAGTTGAGGAAACTTTGGCACGTGATTCAGGTCAGCATGAGACAAGTTCTATGTGAGGTTTCTGGCTTCCGTGCGTGTGCATCATTTGCTGGTCAGGCTACTACCTGTGCCGGGGCCCAAGGCTTCAGGAAAGAAGCCATTTGGGCAACACTTGCAAACTCCTGTCAGAACTGCCTAATATGAGCGGGCTGGTCACCTAGAGCAAGAAAGAGCACAGTTTTCTCCAGGAGGTTGCTCCAAAGTCCAGACACTCTTGCCCAAGATACCTTGAAGCAGGTGGCCGCGTCTTGTCAAGCAACATGCAGCTTGACTACTTTGCTTTGGCTGTTCCATAAAATATGCACATGGAAATGTTACTGGCCATCAGCCGACTGAACAGTCGCCGTCTTTCCCGATCACTGTTGAGGCCTGCAGAGCTCTCTGAAACATGCGAAACTGCTGTCTCAAAGCAGCTCCTGGACTGTGAGCCAGTGAGGTGGAAGTTCTCCAGGCAGCTGCACGCACGCCTCCAAGCAATGTTTGGCGCATCGTTCATCATTTGTTTTGGCTTCGTTGCAGGAGGTTGTCTAGCTTGCCGGCGTGTGATGCAGGTTCATAAATTCATATTTGCATCCTGTGTTTCTTCTGGGGGCGGCTGGCATTGTGCAAAAAAAGCGGTGGAGAGCTGAAGGAATGATCCCCTGCAAGCCTTCGTGCAGGCCCCTGGCGAGTGCTTGAAGGGCAGCCTTCTTTCAGGGGTGGTTGAGTGGGTGGCAGCTATCCGCACCTATCGATAAGACAAGAACTGGCAGCACCGCATGCACATGCCTCACACCTCGGAGAACGGCAGTCGCAATTTCCCACTGCAACCCATGTCACTACACATGGAATGCAAAGTGATTTGAGCAGAGACCGCTCTAAATGCACACGATCACGCAAGGCGTGGGCTGGGCGGTGGGCGTCTGGAGCCATACGTGCTTGCCCCAAGCCGCAGTGAGGCCTTTGCAGCTTTCGGATTTTTTGACCTTGACCCCATTTCCATCCTTCATCCCAGATGTGATGGTAGACCACACTTGCCCCTGTGCCCTAGGAACTGCAGACGAAGAGGCCGATGATCTGCGCCTGAGCCTCAATTCCACCCTGTGACCACTTGCTTGGCAGCTGAACTTTAGACTTTAGACTCATTAGAGTGTCAAGTTTGATGAGCAAACGCCTAGCCGGTCATGACGGGCTTGTACCACCGGCAGGTACAAGACATGTGTGCTTCACAGGCTCCCGTCCCACTTTCTGACATGCGCCCTTTCCCGTTTTTGGTTGCGGATGTTGAGCGCAATGGCTGCAAATGCGAAACCAGCAGACTTGAACCTCTTTCAAGTCGATGCGTGGACATCTTCAATGAATTTACTTGCAAAAACGTCTTCATCAATGCAAAACCCTTCAACGAAAGCCTCTCTACTGCTTTACGAGAACTACTCAGCCTAAAGCAGCCCTGCAGCCCGAAAAAGCCAAGGTGCTGCGTTACATTCGCACCAGTCATGGGCACAGTTGCTTTGTGTGCTATTCGTGGCATGCCTGATTGTCTTGCGCACCTGCTACGTCTTGCTACCTGAAACGCATCTGGCTCTATCCTTCAGCATCCTGTGGACCTGGTACAATGAGGGGCGGCCTGCAAACCCACTTACTTAGTGCTGTATGTTCTTTCTCCCTGCTGATGGAGCTTAGCAAGTTCGTTTGACACTTTCCCACCTCGGCACCCGTTGCCCAAGCTTGTTGTGGTACCACAGGCGGGAAAACCCGGTTTCAGCCGCCAGGCCCTCGAAACAGCTGTGTTGCTCTAGCCGAGTCCTGGAAGTTCGCCATGGCTCTGGCCTCGTCACTTGCAACCGTGGGTACCAACAGCACTTTCGACATCCTCCTCAGCCAAGTAGGTGACCGACGTCAAGCGATTCCACAAGCACTCATTCGCGGCACGTTGGCGTCCGGTTCTCGTATGCTCAGCTGCCAGGACCGCGCAACCAAAGTTATCCGACATGTAAAGTTGGATACCTGGTATTGTATCCGAAGCCTGGCTCTGGGAGAAATCCTTGCGGCCCTGCGCGCCGAGGACCGATGTACCACTCAGGTGCAAGACAGCATAACCAAGGCGATGGACACGCAGAAAGTGTATCACGTTGTGCTTGAAGGAAGTGATCGACGGTTCGTTCCACCAGGTGATCATGCAGTCAGACAAGTGGTGACCTCGTACATTTGTGATGACTTCAGCTGGATCTCTGAGCATGTTGAGGAACTGTTATTTGATCAGATGTCAGATCCTGATGCTATACAACAACCATGGAGAATCCTCAGTTCGACACCTTGCTGCAGCAGTACTATGAGGGTGGAGACCTGACTCGTAAGGATAGGCTTCGACTGGCAGGACGCATGGGCGGCACGCTGCTCAACACAGTAATCAGGGAGGGCCAGCTGGAAACGCTTCAGCTGCTGTTGGTTGGACTCCTACAGGGAGGAATCGAACCCCCGCACTCCGTGGCGAGTTCTGGCCGAGCCCCTGTACCCCTTCGGCTCGCGGAACAGATCGGCCTTCCACTCGCAATTTAAAGTGGGTCTGACAAGGCCCTTGGCAAGCTTCTAGCCTGGTCCGAACAGCATGGCCATGATATCACACACTTGAAGAAAGTGGTAGAGAGGGAGCACAACACCTGCACTCCGATCAAGGAACGCGATTGCTTACAGCTAGCGGCATCCTTACACGAGTGGAGGTGCTACAACCTGCTCGCTCCAATGTTTGGCCGCCAGCCAAAGAAAGACCTCGAGTCTCTACCTGAGCCAAGCTCAGACGTGTCCAATCGTCCACGCGTCATTAGTCTTTGCCCCCGTGGCTATCTACTGGGGAGGGTCTGCTTGCAGGAAGAAAAAAGGAAAGATTTATTGAAGTGCATCACTGAGCTAAAGGCTTCGGAGCATATGAAGCAGGCTGCTAGGGTCCGCATGAGGCGCATCCACTTTGTGGATGAAGCCACGACCGAAGTCATGGACCGCCTGTTTGATGCATGTGCCGGCCTCGATGGCATCGAGGCTATTGGTTGCAAGTTCAAAACAGATCTGAGTTGGCTCGCCTATCTTGAGTCCTTGAACCAGCGCTTAAAAAGAGCAGCCGCATCCGGACAGGATGAGAGAGCTTGCCACCAGAATCGCAGATCAGATGCGATTCTCGCTGTGGGCAGATGATCGAAGAGTATCTTCAAGTGGTGGCATTTGTTCCAAGCTTTCTAGGCGCAGAGCTCACGGCCAAGCAGCACAGGGATCGCTTCGCCACCTTTGAGGACAACGGCCAGTTGATGGCTGCTGCACTGGCAAGCGCCAGGGCTAGTCTAGTCAACGATTTCGCCAGCGATCAGCATGCCAACCGCAACGGCGACATGGATTGGGCTCTGCGACAAAAATTCCTGCCCGTGGCCACACTGGTATATGCAAAGTTCTTCGACAGCAAGCTGCTCTTGACAAAGCAATTCGATGATCCGAGGGATGCCTTGAATCCCGCGGTGGCCTGCTGCCTGCGCTTGACTTTAACCGCCTGGTTCAAGCCTCTGGAGAAACTTGAAGGGAATGATCCACTCATGTGGCAGGCTTGGCAGGAACACTTAGGAGTCGAGGAGATTTCCTACATGTGGCAGCTGGCTGAGGCCCTGGATTTGGCCCTGGCGGTGCTACTTGAAATGTCGGAAGTTCTGGACTACGCCCTGCGTAAGGCTGCTGCAGAGCCCGACTCAGTCGCCTCCTTGCTCAGAAAGTGTGTTCCCGCCACGATCCTGAGCAAATTGCCTGCAGCGAGCGAGCGTCTAGCCGGAAATCATCAGGTGCAGAAGGCCTCCAGCAAGAAGAAGCTGAGCCTTTCAGCTCCCGCAGCTTCCGGATACAAACTCCGGCCGCAGGCGAAGCTACGATGAGGATCCGCGCCCCACATTGACTCTCAGATTCCCAGCGCATGGAGACAAAACCATGACATCTCAGTCTTTGTCGGGTGTTGGAGTGGTGGTGGTAGTAGTAGTGGTAGTAATTAGTATTATTATTATTAGTAGTAGTAGAAACAGTGGCGGCTGTTGTAGTTGTAGGTGTGGTCTGGTCTCCCGAGGCACAGCAGGGCGGCCAAGCTCCGGCTCCCAGTTTTTCCAGTGAACGTCAGGGCCTGCGCAGAAATCTTAAATGATCCTTTAGCAAATCAGCATTGTGAAAATCATGATGTCAGTGCTGCCCCTCGCTGAAGAGATGAATTGGTCGCAAAGTGGCAGCACGCATGCCGTGATTCTCGGCGCTCCTGGGATCTCAGAGCTGCTAGGAACCCAAGCGACAGGAGCCGTCACAAGTTGCTGTTCATCAGATGGGGGAGGTGCTGCATACGGACCAAAGTTGTCACGGTTGATCCACTTGTGCTTCGTTCCTGTCCCCACTGTGTAGCTTGGACGCAGCCTTGGCTGCAAATGCGGCCAGGGACTAGTTGCCAAATACGAGGTCAGCCATGCACTGGTTCTTATGAAGCGATTTACTTGAGTTTTGCGGCTTGTTGTTGTGAAGGAATTTGCGCGGGCGCACGTCTAAGAAGGAAGGTAGCTTCAAGCCACAAACGAGGCCAGATCTGCTGCTGTGCACCAATCTTGCAGTCTTTTGCTGGCTGCTGCGCCGTGGGGTGCTCGGAAAACAAGGCTGGCTGTTGTTGACAGGGCCCCTGCAAGTGCTTGTGCTTCCAACACTTGATGCCATCTCGCGTGGAACTGAGGCAAGGGGTCGACGAAATCCCATGCCTGCTGGACGCCGTTTGTTTGCTGGGAAGTCTGGCTGCTTCAGTTCCCATTCCAGACACTTTAAATTCAAGACGTGTGGCCAGATGTTTGCTCC